TTTTTTTTTTTTTTTTTTTTTTTTTTTTTTTTTTTTTTTTTTTTTTTTTTTTTTTTTTTTGTGTGTGTGGAAACCCTAAACCCTAAACCCTAAACCCTAAACCCTAAACCCTAGAATATTGAAGAAAATGGGATATCTTGGGAAATGATTTAATTTGATTAGTTAGGGATACGGTAATTGATTAGGGGTTATTATATACTTAATTATTAGGGTTTATATATTAGGGTTTATAAATAGTTACTATTATTAGGGTTTACATATTAGGGTTTATGCATATGTTGAGGGTTTACAAATAAGGGTTTACACCAAATAAGTGTTTACAAATAAGTGTTTATTAAATGAATTAGGGTTTAGACTAAAAATTAGTGTTTAGGGTTTAGGGTTTAGGGTTTAGGGTTTACTTGAATTCTCCAACTTTAGCCTTAATCTCTCTTTTTACAGCATCATTATTATTTTCTTTTTTTATTTCTTCTTCTCCTTCTCCTCCTCTTAGATTAACACGAGGTAAATATACTGCAGCAGGAGGTATCCATGGCTCCTCTTCATCAGGCTCCGTTAATATAAATATAGGTATACTGCAGCAGCAGCAGCAGCAGCAGCAGCAGCAGCAGCAGCAGCAGCAGCAGGAATAACGGAGAGCATAGATAGAGATACACCTAAACGTACATTAACAAGAGCATAAAACATTAACAGCAGCAGCAAGACACGACCGCCACCACCACCAGCAACAACAGCAGCAGCAACAGCAACAGCAGCAACAACAGCAGCAGGAACAGCAACATAAGACTTACATGCGTAGATATTTAGGTTTAAGTTTATGTAATTCATGTAATAATAATTCAGCAACATTAGTTGCAGTGTATGCATAACAACAAGAAGAAAGATCAATAAATGCAGATCCTCTAGTATATATTTCCTTTAATGAATCCTCTGCTGCTGCTCTTATCTTTATCTCCTCTAATACAGAATAATTTACTCTTGTTTGCTCTTTTCTTTTTTGTTGCTCAAATCTTTCTAAGAGGCGAGGCTGTGCCTCTCTTAGTGCCTCTTCAAATTTTAGACTTTGTTCGGCCGACCATACACGTAAACGGTCCAACTGTATATAAATATATAAATATATATATATTTATATATATAAACCCTAAACCCTAAACCCTAATTTATAATTAATAATAAATATGTATATAATACACAAATATCTATAATTTAAATACTTATAAGGGGTATCTAACTTTTATTATTATTTATATATTTAGCATAGATAAAACCCTAAACCCTTTTCTAAACCCTTTTCTAAACCCTAAACCCTTTTCTAAACCCTCTCTAAACCCTAAACCCTTCTACACTTACATGTTCACCAGCTATCACATTTATTTCCGCCTCTACTCGTCTTAAATCTTCCGTCACTCGCCGTAAATCCGCCACTAATGTTGCAGCCTTGTATGTTGTATCCACGTAATCCTATACACAAACCCTAAACCCTAAACCCTAAACCCTTGAAAACCCTAAACCCTAACAAAACCCTAGAGGAAGAGGGTTTAGAAGAGAACGAGGGAGGGAAGGCACCATGTGTGTGTTTCCCCTGCATTAACTACTTCCAAGCATATAGTCCTGGTGCTTACTGTTTCCTAGGGTTTAGGGTTTAGGGTTTATTAGGGTTTAGGGTTAATTAGGGTTTAGGGTTAATTACTTGATGTAGAGGAAGAAGTTTAAGAGCAATAAGATCTCCTAATTGTTCCTTGAATTCTGTTGCATTTCCTTGGATATATTCAGCAACTCTTGCCTCTAATGTAGATGTTCTCTCTAATAATAAATCTAATAATGGTTGAGATGGATGAGGCTGATCTGTATATACACCCCAAAACCCTAAACCCTAAACCTTAAACCCTATGAAACAATAAACCCTAAAATATAAACCCTAAACCATCAAAGCCTGTACACGACAGCTACATCCTTTAAGCCAATTAATATCAAGATGGAGTCCATGGAGTGTTATTTATCCATTACTCAATTTAGGGTTTACAACTAGGGTTTAGGGTTTACGAGGGTTTAGGGTTTAGGGTTTACTGAGTGTTTCCTTGGTGAGGTCTAGATCCTTAACCGCAGACTTGATCCAATTAATATCAAGACGGAGTCCATGTAGTGTTATTTATGCATTACTCTATTTAGGGTTTACAAGGGTTTATGAGGGTTTAGGGTTTACAAGGGTTTATAAGGGTTTAGGGTTTACTGAGTGTTTCCTTGGTGAGGTCTAGATCCTTGACTGCAGACTTGAGCCAATTAATATCAAGACGGAGTCCATGGAGTTGTTTAGCTCCTCTGCCTAATTGAGCCTTAAGGGACTCCCTGAATTCGAGCATATGCTGGTCGTGCTCCTGCTGCTGCTGCTGCTGCTGTTGTTGTTGCTGCTGCTGCTGCTGCTGCTGTTGCTGTTGTTGTATATCCTCTATATTCTGCTGCTGTTGCTGTTGATGATTTTGCTGCTGCTGTTGATGATTTTGCTGCTGCTGTTGCTGCTGCTGATCTCCTTCTATAAGTACGGAACCTGATCCTGTTCCTCCTCCTGCTGCTCCTGCTGCTCCTGCTGCTGCTGCTGCTCCTCCTCCTATTTGCTGCGGTGGTATATCCATGTCTGCTGTACTTACACTCTGTGGCTCATCAAAGGAAAGAATTTCTGCTTCTGTTTCTGCTGTACTTGTTGTTGTTCCTGCTGCTGCTACAGCTTTTGCTGCTGCTGCTGCTGCAGCAGCAGCAGCAGCAGTAGAGGAAGGATAAAATTCCTCCTCCTCTGATGTCTCCTGCTGCTCCCTCCATACTTCGCTGCCCTCTCCTTGTCTCTCGTTGCTTACGTGTGCAGCTTCTTGGGATTCCTCTCCTGCTGCTGCAGCAGGAGAGCAGAAAAGCTGCTGCTGCAGCAACAGCAGCAGCAGCAGCAAATGCAGCAACGATACAGCCAAAAGATGTGCCATCGTTGCTGCTGTGAATAGTCAACGGAAAAAATCACAACTCCTGATGGTCAGGAATTGCTGCACCAACTGCTGCTGCTGCTGCTGCTGCAGCTGCTGCAGCTGCTGCTATTGCTGCTGCAGTTACAGTTGCTGCTGTTTGCTGCAGTTGCTGCTGTTGCCAATGGTGAATACGCAGCTGCTGCTGCTGCTTCTGTCGGTAGGACCAGTCAAACGGAAACGTGTATATGAGTATGTGAGGTTGCTGCAGCAGCTGCTGCAGCTGCTGCTGCTTTATCTGCAGCAGCAGCAGCAGCAGCAGCAATCAGCAACATCTGTTGGAGCCCGCTGGCTATAGTAGTAATATAAGCATTGCTCCCCTCAAGGAAAGAAAGACTTGGCCTCCTATAAGAGGGATTTATTTTTCTTAATAAATATATATATTAGTAGCTAGTGTTGCTGCTGCGGTCTCCCTGGTACATACAGAGAGCGAGGCGAGGCTCGACGACTCCCGTTGCTGCTGCTGCTGCTGCTGCTGCTACTGTTGCGGCTCCTGCTGCTACTGTAGACTGGGAAACTGTGCAACAGAAAGGAACAAAGGGGTCCTTAGATGAAGAAGCGGACTAAAAAGAATCCGTTGATTCGCCAACACTTGTTGCTGCTGCTGCTGCTGCTGTTGTGGGACCTGCTGCAGCATCAACTATGGAGAGGGCTGGCTGCTGCTGCAGCAGCTGCTGCTGGCTACGGCTGCTGCTGTTACCGCAGCAAAGGGGTAAATGGGGGCCCACCACCTATCAAGGAATTCCTTTTTGAAGATGGATTGAATATTGATGGAGGGTTTAGGGTTTAGGGCTTAGATTTCAGCCTCTGGCCTTGCCACGACGGGAGTCGTTCGCGGGGACGTGCAGCAGCAGCAGCAGCAGCAGCAGCAGCAGCAGTAGCAGTAGCAGCTGCTGCCTCAGCGTCTCGGGTACCAATTCGCCTCTCTTGAGTTCGAGTGTACACATACCTGCTGCAGGCTGTTTTGTCTTTCTTTCATGCTGACGACCGGCAGGAGCCGCTCCCTAGCAGCAGCAGCAGCAGCAGCAGCAGCGACCCCAGCGACAGCAGCACAGTTGCGAGGTAGCTGCTGCAGCAGCAAGCTAAGACATATATACTGCTGCATTGCTGCATCTGTAATAGGGTGTGAAGTAATCTGCCCAGCAGCAACTGCATAGCCTGCAGCAGCAACAGAGAAGGTAGCATAGAGGCAGCAGCAGCAGCAACAGCAGCAGCTGCAGCAGTAACTGCAGCACCAATTCCTTCGCAAACGGCCCACCTGCACCAAGCGGGAAGATGCCCGCTCTTCGGGGTGTAGTTGGAGGCAGCAATGCAATGTTGTTGCTGCCGCTGCTGCCGTTGCTGCTGCTGCTGCTACAGCAGCAGCAGCAGCATGCAGCTGCCTTTGAGGCCCCTGCACACGAAGCTATCTCCATGACTGCTTTGTCAGGTAGCTGCCTATACACCTCAGCCATGTTTAACTCTTCTATTTCTGCATGCATGCGTCTCTTGCTGCTGTGTGTGTGCATGTCTTCCTGCTGCATGCATGCATGCATGCATGCATGCATGCATGCATGCGTGCATTCACTTGTATTATTTCCTCCTCTTCCTTGCTGCAGCAATATAGATGTTGCTGCTGCTGCAGATATAGTGTGTGGGGTCTGCATAGCTGTTTATTCCTTAATGCGTTAGTCATTAATCCTGCTGCTGCTGCTGCTGCTGCTGCTGCTGCTGCAGGCCTTACAATGCAGGCAAATCAGGCGCTGCGCCGGCTGCTCAATGGGAAGGACGTGGCTGACGTCTCAGGTTAGCAACGCTGCTGCTGCTTCCGTTCTCTTGCTGCAGCAGCAGCAGCAGCAAAAGTTTCTGCTGCTGCTGCTGCTGCTATGTGTGTGCTTGTCTTGTTGCTATTTTGCTAAGTATTCAACTGCTGCTTCTCTTATTGATGCTGCTGCACTTGTTGCCGTTGCAGCTGCTTCCTTTAGCCCCTCCTGCTGCAGCAGCAGAAGCAGCAGCAGCAGCTGCTGCTGCTGCTGCAGGGTTGCTTGTGTGGATGTGTTGTATCTACTGTTTCTACTACCACCACTACTTCTACTGCTGCTGCTGCTACCGATGTTGCTGCTGCTGCTGCTTCTTATGCTGCTGCTGCTGCTGCTGTTGTTGCTGTTGCTGCTGCTGTAGGTTGGGCCCATCGTGTAACAGAGAAGTATCCATTGACTGCTCCCCTTCATTTCCAGCGGCAGCCAACATGTCCTGCTGCAGCAGCAGCAGCAACAGCAGCAAATATAAAAATAGAGAAATCGTACTGCAGCAGCAGCACAGCAGCACAAGATGGTTGTCTATTAGAGGCATTAACTTATTTCTTTTATAGACTTACTGCACCAGAAAAAATAACTGAGCAGAGAGACGATGGTAAGAGTCCTGCTGCTGCTGTTGCTGCTGTTGTCTTGCTGCTGCTGCTGTTGTTGTTGTTGTTGTTATGCTGCTGCTGTCATGTTGCTGCTGCTACTAGTTGCTTTTCTGTCGCTGGATGCATGCATTGTTTCTTCTCGTTGCTTATGCTGCTGTAATCGCTCTTCTTGCTGCTGTTGTTGCATTTGCTGCTGCTGCTACATTTGCTGCTGCTGCTGCTGCTGCTGCTGCTGCTGCTGCTGCAGATAATCCCGTCATTCGTACCGACAAATTTGTTTTTCCTCATGGCATAAACACAACAGATGCAGATGCCGTAAGACATTTCTCTTTTTTATACAAATAAATAAATAAATAAATAAATAAATAAATAAATAAAATAAAATAAAATAAATAAAATAAATGTAAATAAATAGAATAAATAAACAAATACCTTTTTTTTCTTTTTTTTTCTTTTTTTTTCTTCTTTTTTTAGGTAAAATATGTAATTAATTTGATAGGAGATATTCATGAGCCTCTTCATTGGGGATCAAATGTTGATAACTTTGGCAAAAATATCTATAGTAAGTCCTTCCTCCTGCTGCTGCTGCTGCTGCTGCTGCAGCAGGAGTAGCAGGAGCAGTAACTACAAGAAGAGGAGGAGGAGGATGTTATATAATAAATATTTATTTATTTATTTATTTATTTATTTATGTGTATGCATGCAGTTGAGTATGATGTTGGTGACGAAATAAGAGAAAGAAGAAGAAGTAATCTTTATGATTTTATTGAGGGAAAATTTGTTAACAAAATTATGCAAGAAAGGCAAACCTTCTGGTACTCAGGTAAGATAATTAATTAATTAATTAATTAATTAATATATTTTTATTATATTATTTATTGTATGCTACTGCTGCTGCTGTTGCTGCTGCTACTGGCTGGAGATGTGCTGCTGCTGGTGCTGCTGCATCTGTTGCAACAACAAGTCTTTATGCAAAATAATAAATTGTATATTTTTATAGTTATACACTTATATATATATGTATAATATATAATTATATCCATGTATTTATTTATTTATTTATTTATTTATTTATTTATTTATTTATTTATTTGTATAGGTTGGACGCATGTAAACTCCGTGAAATCTTTTTATGAAGAAGAGAAGAATATTTTTAATGCAAGAAAAGAAACTTACTTCCTTTCTTGGGCAAAAGAGAATAGAGCTATTCTTTGTACAGAGGTATTTATTTATTTATTTATTTATTTATTTATTTAGCTCGTTAGTTAGATAGTTAACTTACTTCCTTTCTTGGGCAAAAGAGAATAGAGTTATTCTTTGTACAGAGGTATCCATTTATTTATTTATTTATTTATCTATTTATTTATTTATTTATTTTCTGTAATATAAACAAATAAAAGAATTGTAAGAGGAGAAATAGTGTGTTTATTAATTTATTTATTTTATTTATTATGTATGCAGATATATCCATTACTCCAACGTATGACGAAGAAGAAAGGGGAACAAAATGTTTATTTATTAGACAGAACATCTGAATTCCTTTTCTTTGAATTAATTAAAAAACGTATTCTTATTGCAGGAGCAAGAGTTGCAGTAGTTATGAATTATATTCTTCAGGTATTCTTTTTTTTTTCTTGTATTCAATTCATGATCATCATCATGAGCTGCCTATACACCTGAAATTTTTGCAAGTTGCACAGTTCAACTTTTTCTTCCTTTGTGCATTCGTCATTTCTTTATATTTAAATAAATCATTTTCTCCTCTTTAATTTTATTTTTATTTCTTTTTCTTTTCTTTATTTTATTTTATTTATTTCCCTTTTTTTTCTTGTACAGGTTAGAGGACTGGATGAGGGTCTCGGGCAACTCCGCGCAGGCAGTGGCATGCAGGACGTTCGTAAGTTTGTATTTCCTTCTTTTTCTCCTTTTCCTTCCTTTCTTTTGTCTATTTGCTGATTATTTAGGAGGAATAACTCATTATTATACATAGTTACACATAATTATACAGGAGATCGTGTCAATTAATGCATGTTTCCCCTCTTTTCCTGTTTTGTTTTTTTTTTTACAGAAGAAACAGCAGACGCAAGACCTCCATCAACAGGCGAC